AACTTTTATGGTTTTTCTAGGGAAACTAATTTTATGATTTTGAAGCTGACTCACCTTACCCATTAAATTTTTTTGTCACTCTAAGTTTAAAATCGTTCTCGAACAAATGTTAGTGAGAAATTTTTGAACCCTGCATCTGTAACACACGTCTCGACCGCCGCACAGCTCTATCACATTCAAGTAGCTCGTTCCTTCCTATTTATTGACACCGGTAAGCACTCGTGGGCGCGCTTCATCGGGATCACTGTTAACCGCTCTCGCTTTCGGCGAAATTCGAGTGTTTGCGCGCAATGTTAGAAGTGTGTATCGTTGTCAATGGGTGATCCAGCTTATTTGCTTATCATCTCGTTGTGTCGGTGCTTGTAAATGACTCTTCTGACGAGTGCTCTCAGCTCTGTAAGATTTTGCGCCAATGCGCAAGATCTTACAGAGTCATATAGCTTGCTGAAGTTCTACATAAATATCCATTAGTGCTTGAATGGCTTATAAAGTGCAAGAAGATAGCTAGAATAAGTGGACTGTGAACTTCTTATCTCTCTGTTCGATTATTTGAAGTTATGGGCTAATACATTCTGACACATCATAAAATGCCCTTATGGTATAGAGGTGTGAAATGGCTATTTGATAGCACGATGTGGAATCGATGGTGATTTGAGGTGATGATATGGGAAAATAGCCGAAAAGAAGTGTTGAAGGCTTTAAAGTGTCAACTTATGACGGACGAAAGGTATCTGGGGTCGAATTTTATGTGGTCTGGAGAAAGTTTCAAAATAGTTTTTGTCGTGAATTTACCAAACCTCAAACCCGAACATAAAGGTACAGAAAGGCTGGCTTCTTTGGGTGAAACGTGACGTGCTTGGTAGAATTCCGTAAGACTATTCGCGCTCAAATTTGAAACCTAATGATTCTTCTAATATCTCTGAAGAGATGTTTTGATTGATTGATTAAACAAATAAAATTAATCAATGTAAAATGAGATTTTGAATGAGAGCATGATTGGCTAATGAAAAGTTTAAAAAATCGAAGAAGTGATTGTGTTGTGAATGATTGAGGTTATTCGAGAGAGTAATGATTGAAAGGTCGAATGGATGAACAAAAAAATGAAGAATTCAATGATTGAATTAGTGAATGAATGGTGATTGAACGAATGAATGACACATTGAAATGAATCAAAGTTTTACCCTTTTCTCAAACTGATGTGAACATATCTTAGTTTCTCGGAAAATATCAAATATTGTGAAATATTACATCAGCAAAAAAATGTCTAGTGCTGTTAGTTTTCAGCGCAAGAACCTTTTAGTCACAAGAAATAAATCCTCTGATACTTCTGTCAA